TCAGCGGGCCACGGTAAAATTATCAAAGGCTGACTGGTCCGCGGCGATAAAAAGGTTGGGGACCACTGGTCCACGGGATTTAAAATCTATTAATTTAGTGGTCCCTGAGGTCCAAAAGGTTGGGGACCCCTGCTCCAAACCGCTTAAAGAGGGCTGTAAAGCACTGTGAAGTGGCATGTAAGTCTAAGGGTTATTGCTATCACACCACTCAAAATCCAATTGTGATCCTCAGCCCATAAAAAGTTGTATTCTTCTGCCTTGAAGATTAAGCAAAAGAGTTTACTATGATTCAGCTTGGGAATTGTTCCAGTAAGAACTCAAAAATATGTCAAAAGAATTAGCTTTCTTTTAGAAAGACCTGTATTATTATTTTTTTTGAAGAGCCAAGATAGCTTTGTGCTTTATTCAGTTCTGAGTTTAAAATAGTCTTCAGGTGACTGTTTCCTCCTGCCCCTCTGCGGTGATATTAAAGGTTATCATGAAAGTCTAAACTAAATATTAATAATAACATTAAACAATGAGTAATTAGATAATGAAAATATATTTCAACATAAGCATGTGTATTAAAAGTAGAATTACACAAATTGGATGAATGGAAGGAATATGAATAGATCTACACGCGGTGGCTCAGTGGCTAAGATGCTGAGCTTGTCAATCAGAAAGGTCGGCAGTTTGGCGGTTCAAATCCCTAGCACCACATAACGTAGTGAGCTCCTGTTACTTGTTGCAGCTTCTGCCAACCTAGCAGTTCGAAAGCATGTAAAAATGCAAGTAGAAAAATAGGAACCATCTTTGGTGGGAAGGTAACAGCATTCCGTGTGCCTTCGGTGTTTAGTCATGCCGGCCACATGACCACAGAGACCTCTTCAGACAGCACTGGCTCTTTGGCTTTGAAACGGAGATAAGCACCTTCCCCTAGAGTTGGGACTTACTAGCACATTCGTGCGAAGGGAACCTTTACATTTACTTATATGTTCAAATGATACTGTGATTTATATTAGAATTGTATATTGAAACACTGAACAATGAAAGAATGAAGGATGAAACTATACAGATGTGAAGAGTTAAATAAGGGAAATATGAATAATAAAGCAGGTGAAAGATGGAAGACAGAAATGAAACATCTTTGAATACAATGGTGACATGAATAAAAGTTAGAATAGAAATAGAAACAAGAGGGAAACAACAATATATATATGTATTCTAATATAACAAGATATTTATAATAATAAGAGGGAGGTTCAGAGATTGAATGGTGGTAGTATTAGATATGTTTAAACAATATGAAATGAAAATGAAATGTAATAACTATGAGTAATAATATTATGTTTATGAGTACTAGAATGTATGATACCCCAACAATCTGGATCCTCATTTTACCCACCTCTGAAGGATGGAAGGCTGAGTCCACCTTCAGTCAATCAGAATCGAACTGGAGTGAGCAGTGAGTTAGGATGCAATACTGCATTCTAATTACTGGGCCATCTTATATAGCATACAAAGAAAATACAAAAGTAAATCGTAGGGAAGGGAAAAGAGAAGGGGAGAGTGGGGGGAAGCAAGGGGAAAACAGAAAAAAAAGAAAAAAAAGAAATTGACTTCCGATGCAGCAAATTCACTTTTGTGCAGCAGAATATGGCATTAACATCCAACCTCAACTTTTTACTTTTACATAATGTTATAAACTAGCCATTCCTGTAACAACAAATCTATCAAATTGGTAAAACCCAAAACGCTTAGTTCTGTGTCTTATTTCCTTTTGCAGATATGAGCCTCAGACTGATATCCCTTCCGATGTTGAAACAGAGCAGGACCGAGTTTTTTTCATTAAGGCTGTTGCTCAGTTTATGGTGAGTTTTATTTATTTAATGTCCCTGAAGGGTCAAATACAGAATGTGAAATTTAATACCAGAGTACTCTCCAGTTAATTTTTGAATGAAAACACTTCAGATACACACGCACACAAACACACCCACAGACATACACGGGAGGAGGGAGGAGAGGGAGGGAATTAAAATAGCCCTGTGGTTTGAAAATTGGATCTCAGTTCTCTGGCTGAAACGGAAGCTGATGATAAGCCCTGGGACTAATAATGCTGAAGAGTCTCTTAGTATAAGATGAGTTACATGGGAAGAGATGCAACGGATGTGTTGAATCTCTGATGACTGTCTGCCTGGGGTAGAGATTACATTCATCATCGCTCAGATAGGTAGGCTGGTAAATAGTACTGGGGAGAAGGAACATTTTCACCTCCTTCCCTATTGGCTTTTCCCAGGGATGTACATTCCTTGTTTAATTTCCAAAATATATTAGAAGTTTTAGTAATATATATAAAACCAACCTGAAGATGACGAATGAGACTTCATCGAAACATCGCCAAGACACTTCCAATTTTACGCGGGAGAAAACCCGAATAACCAAAGACCTACATACAAACACCCACGAAAACCTCAGAAAACACACACACACACATATACACACACACACACATACACACACACACACACACACACACACACATATATATGCCTTCAGAGTCAGACATCAGCGAGGCAGATGAACAGCTGGAGCGTGCCCCCAGTGTGCACATGCACAGAGTTGCCAGACAAAGGGAACAGCTAAAGAACAGGGGTCGACTTGGGAGGAAGGCCACAGGTGGACGATGAATGGCCCCTCCCAGAGGAAATAAAAGAGGAGCGAGAGGGGATTGGAGTTTGCAGGAGACAATTAGTTCGCTTATATATACTAGCTGATAAGCCAGCGTTGTCCGGGTTATTTATTTATAGGGGGGAAATGTCCAGACCAAACATAATTTGTAATGTTGGATTTTCCCCCTTACCAGAGGGAGCCCCCTTGTGGAGTACTATGGAGCCATTACCATGGCAACTCACTGCCCTGTATAGTAGAAACCATTTTACGGTAGCACAGTTGAAGCCATTTGAAGGCACAACAGGTTGTATCGTAACAGAACACACACTCCGAAGGGTGTTAGGGGTGTCCTACTCCCACAGTATTTGTTTCCAGAGAACAAGTCATCTGTGTACCAGGTTTGGTTGAAATTGCTCGAGGCGTTCCAGAGTTATGCTGGAACATACATGTAGCTGTAGCTATAGCTATAGCTATAGATACAGAAGAAAGAGACATTACGATCTCCGGAACTTTTAAAATATATTGCTCACTGAGCTTTTGTTAGCCACTGCTAACATCATCAGAGTGTAAAAGCCACTAAAGCGATACCTGCCTTTATACAATGTTAATCAATTTGACCATTGCACGTGTGATAGGCCCATCCACCCACTTCCCACCTGTAATTAGCTTTGTTGATTTTACATCAGGCATGTGAATCAATGCTCCTATTCCTTCTTCCCTTATCAAACACACTTGGGCTCCTCGTCCCCATACATATAGACATAGATATAGATACACACACACGGGGGGGGGGGGGGGGAGATGTTTGATTGGATTGACCTATGCCTTATAAACCAGGGAGTAAAACCCAAATAGAATAATCACACTTCAATGGATCTGGGTTGCATTGTGGATCTTGTAAGAGCTTTTGAAACAGCATAATCCTTTTCAAACAAGTGATCCCATTAACAACAAGAGTGCTGCAGGAAGCCACATGGTATGGGCAAAATTGATGTGCCAATTAACTGAAGATCTGATCAGCTGTAAATTTCACCCTTAGTGAACTAGAGCACTAAAGTTCCTCTGCAGAATTTCTGTTCTGGTTACTTAGGAACTGGCTGGTCCAGACGGCGTTTGCTAAGTTGGGATGAATCATTGCTCAAGCATGCTTTTTCTTGCCTGTGTTACTCTATTACAATTATAGGATCCTCACTGAAATCTACTTCCGTTTTGGGATAAAACATTTTTGATGTATTGTTAGGGTATAGGACTGGAATCAGAGAAGCTGTATTTAGCCACAGAGATTATGAAAATTATGATTTCCAAAGCTGCTATGATAGGATAGCTTAACTATAGGCCATATCAAAGCACAGGGTTCAAACACATATCACCAATAAAATCTTATACAAACAATTTAAGATAAGAGTATGGTAAAATAAAAATAGTTATAGGATAAGATACAATAGAATTTAATACACAAATATATAAAATAGCGTTCCAAATATCATCCAAAATTAAATCAGAGTCCAAGGCAAAGCATTGCTCTAAGTTCCAATTTATTAAGAGAGACATGTTGGTACAAACTGTGGAATACCCGAATCTGAAAACTTCCTGGGGTTTCCACCCAGTTGAAAGTTCATGATCTTGCCCCCACACCCACAAGTCCATCTCATGGTCCTATCTTCCATTGCCACGCTGGCATCTCCACCCATCCACTTCCGGAGAGGTGTAGAGGTGCGGAGACAAAGAATGACCTTCGGCTTCTAGAAAGAAATGTTTTATTTTGACAACAACACATATACATTATATTCCTTACTATACCCCCTCCCAATTACCCCACTAATGAAACAACATAGTAAAATAACAGAGAGTGTGGCAGGCCAAAGATCCTAAAAGGAATATGACAAAATATGACTACAGGCCTGACAATAGGATAAAAGGACATAAAATTATATTTCAGTGTCACACTTACAATCTATCCCAATCAGTCTCACGTATGGCGATCTCAACCGAGCCATTTTGCTTCCGTCAAATGTTATTTTCAGGTTCCGATTGTACATAAAGTAAGTTGTTTTGATGTGGGGATCCCAATAGGTCCTTCATTTGATATATGGACCAAGGGACCTGCTTCTCACCCCCTTATACAAGGCACAGTCCAATAGGATGTGAGCCTGGCCTTCTACCTCTGCCGCTTTGCAAATGCAGAGATGCTCATTGGAGGGTATAGAATGGAATCTCCCATATCTGGCCATTGTGTCCAGCGGTTCAAATCTCACTTGCACAAATATCTCCCTAAGATATTTTGGCCGTTGTAACTTCAGATAGCAGTCTACTTGAAAAGTGTGTTTGTATTTGCTCAGCCCCGTGATGGCAAACCTATGGCACACGTGCGAGGGGTGTCACACAGAGCCTTCTCTGTGGGCAATCCTGCCATCACCAGCTGCTCATCTGGATAGCTATATCATTGTGTGCTTCTATATCCTTAATTCTTTGGGCAGCTCTTTTTTTGAATTGTTCCCCTGTTATGCAAGAGACAGGAAGGCCACAGCTTCTGTATGATTTCACTTCAACCTATCTCACAGGTTAGTTCATGCAGGAATAACATTGGAGAAAAGGTTGCCATGGATACTACCTCAAATTATCTGGAGAAAAGAAATAAATACATCAAGTGAAAATTGGCTCTTGCAAAACAATATTTGAAAGCAGCCTATAGATCCCAGTAATTGTAGCGCTTAGTCAGAAGGCACGTTGGGCGTAGAAAAATAGAGTTGGAAGGGGCATCTTCTTGTACAACCCCGTGCCCAGGGAGGAGAGCTGTCAGAGTTTGTTGCAAAAATCAAATCCAGAAAGCATACACAGATAACTGATGCAGCAGGATTCATTAACTCCTTTATATACATAATACATGAATAAATGTACAATACCAAAAGCAGATTCTTCCAACGTGGTAGAGAGGAGAGACTGGTTTCCAGTTTCAATTCAGAGAGCAGACAAGTCCAGACTAGTTTCATTTCAGAGTTCAGAGTTTAATACAGTTAAGCCACGCTCAGACTTCTACTTAAGTTTCTGTTTCCAAATAAGCCTCATTGACTGACCTCGTTACCATGTCTCTGCCAGTTCATGAATATTCTGACAAGACCCTATACCAGGGGTGTCAAACTCGATTTCATTGAGGATTGTATCAGGTTTGTGTTTGACTTTGGGGGGCTGGGGTGGGCGTGGCCAGGGTGGGCGTGGCCAGCTTGATGTCACTTGTGTCAGCGGTGCCTATGGTGACCCAAGCGCTCTGTCAGTGAAAATGGGCTCCCGAGTTCCATTTTCGGCTGCGACAGCCTCCTGCAACCCTCTACCAGCGAAAACAGAACTCGGGATGCAGCCCTCCTGAGCTCAGTTTTCACTGGCAGAGGCACTGTGGGCCAGTCCTTCGCTGTTTCCAGGATGGCCTTGCGGGTCAGATCTAAGCATCCCATGGGTCACATCTGCCCCCAGGCCTTGAGTTTGACATCCCTGCCCTATACCATTCCAGACAAATGACCATCTTCCAGTGATTGAGTACCTGCAATGACATATTTTAATTTCCTGAGTCAGAAATCATTTGGGAAATAAATAGCTATGAACTGCTTCATCCTGAGATATAAACATACGTGGAGAGAGAGAGAGAGAGAGAGAGATGAGCATTCATTCCTTCATCCAACAGGCCACCAAAGCTCACATAAAACTCAACACCAAGAAGCTTTACCAAGCCGATGGCTATGCTGTGAAGGAGCTGCTGAAGATCACCACAGTGCTTTACAACGCCATGAAGAGCAAAGGGATGGAAACCACAGCTACGGGTGAAGAAGACGTTGGCAAATTCAAATTTGATCTGGGTTCCAGAGTAAGGGACTTTGAATTTCTTCTTTTATGTGAGCTTTCTCTCGCCTTTCCTCTTGAGGCTTAAAGCATCATTTAAGTGATACGTACTATATTTTTGGAGTATAAGACGCACCTTTTCCCCCCCTAAAAGAGGGTGAAAATTTGGGTGCATCTTAAATACCAAATGTATTTGGCCTCTGCCTCCCAGCAATTTACCTCCTTGCAGCAAACAGCCTGATTAGCACAAGAAAAAAAAAATCTCTCTCTGCCTCCCAGCAATTTGCCTCCTGGAGCAAACAGCAAGTTTCACTTTCAATTTCAGCAGGGGCCTCCCGATCATCACCTGTTTCAGGCTGCAGGGATTGCCATAGCCTATGGCAGCCTCCGCAAGCCCCATTTTCCCCGTTTGCTGCAAGGAGGTAAATTGCTGGGAGGCAGAGGCCAAATACATTTGGTATTTA